ATAAGTAATATAAGTGTCTGAGTGATTATTTTATACGTGGATTGTGGGACTGCAGGGCTTGGTGGAACCTGGAGAGAAGCCCTCCAACAACAGTCAAGAGAGGTTAAGTAACCTGATGTCAGAGCCAGTTAAAGAAACAAAGGCGGGGAGGAGGGAAGGGTCGGCTGGTAACGTACTTGTCTTACACAAGTGTGAGGACCCGAGTTTGATCCCCAGAACCCGTCTAAAAATGCCTGCTGGTTAGGTTTTGTCAACTTAACTCCAGCTAGGACCATGTGGGCAGAGGAACCTCAGATGATGGCCCACAGACTCACTGTGCAGCGTTTTCTTGATTCTTATTGATATGTGAGAGCTGAGCCCACTGTGGGCAGTGGCACCCCTAGGCAGATGGTCCTGAGGTGCAGAAGAAAGGGAGCTGAGCACTCTGTGGGGAGCAAGCCGGTAAGCTTCCTTCAGGGTCTCTGCTTCAGGCCTTACCTCGAGCTCCTGCCCTGACCTCCCTTCCTGGCAGACCGTGACTGGGATGTGAAAGTCAAGTGTCTTCCCCGGGTTGCTTTTGGTCACTGTGTTTTATCACAGCAATAGAAAGCCTTCTAAGAGAGGCATGAATTTGTGTCCCAACACTAGAGAGCCCGGAGGCTTTACTGTTCAGCAGCCCGGCCTTGGGGAACCCCAGGTCTCAGTGGGAGATTCTTTGGGAACTTCTGAGGAATGACAGAGTCATGATGTTGACTTCTGGGCTCCATATGCACACACGCACATGCGGGCACGCTCATCCTCACATACACAAACGTGTGTACCTGTATACACACTGTGGCGAGCTAACCTGGAATCAACTAAGACCCAAGCAACTGGGCATGTCTGTGAGGAATTTTCTTGGCTGGCTCACTTGAGGTGGGAAGATCTCCAGCAGATCTGGGCCATGCCTTGGGGTGGCAGCCCATGGGGGGAAAAAACATGGAAGAGGCAGGCTTTTGCTTTCTGCTTGCTTGTCCTCACTCTCTCCGACAAGTTCATCTGACCTGCTGCCGAGGCATCCCTTTGATGGTCTTAGAACCTACCTCTTCAGGACTCCCACACAGACTGAAGACCAGCCGAGACATCCCGTCTCACGGACTGAAAAATTAGAATCATGTCTTTCTTCCAGGAGACAGCCATTGTTGGACTAGATGGACCACAGCCTAGAAGTCACACTACTAAATCATGTATGGATGCCCTGACTACACACACACACACACACACACACACACACACACACACACAGAGAGAGAGAGAGAGAGA